ACGGCATCTCTGGCGGCTTCAAGAAATCAAGAGCAGTTTGGAGCTATTTTTTTTGCCAAATAGGGTAAAACAAAACAACTTCAGCTAGGAAGCTCTAAGTCGTTCTTTCACACACGTTGACGGTGGGATAAAGCTGAAAATAGTGGCTTCACTTCGTCCTGGTGAGTTCTGCATGTGGTTCAGTGAGAGCATGTTTTAAGGAGCCCTATACGTCGAGCTGTTTTGTCAGATAGTTTGCCAAAACAGCTCCAGCTCCATCGATAGAGTTGTTTACGGAGCTGAAGAAAAAAAACTGCTTAACAAGTGAAGTCGTGCCAATCAGGACCTAAGGCTTCCAATTGAGCATGTCCACACTTATTTGGCTATTTGGATTTTCTTTCTATTTTCCAGGGCCGCAAATGTGAACATACCTAACACACAATATTTCGTTAAGAAAAGAAGTCTAGCAAATCTCACTATTAAATATTAACCCTTGCGCAATGACGAGAAACATTGCAATAGATCTAATTTAGCTGCAAAAGGTACATATTGCAATCAAATCACATTCTTGGCCAATGAATACAATAAGTCGCATTGTAATAAAGTAGACACGCAGTAAAGTATAATAACCGTGCGATGGCAGCCATCTCTCTCTAGCTAATAAGACCCTAAATATTGGGTCCTCACAGGGAACGAAGAAAGAAGGAAAATTGCTATTGCTGTCTGTTTTTTTTTCGGTACGTGGAACATCAAAGATTGCAAAAAGGCTCTTGAAGAAGCCGAGCTGCTGGGACTCGAGAAGAAGATTTGGGGCCTTGGGGGTGATGGAAGGGTCACTAATTGTATAGCGATCGAGATGAGAACTGAGAATGAGAGGCTGGTTCACGCTTCAGAGACTCAAACGGGGCAAGACCGCAAGAGTTATCCTGTGTCCCTGTAGCCTGTAGGACCAGCACCTGTGCGGTCGCGGCAGGACGCGGCCCATGCTGGCCTCATGGAAGGTGACAAGTGGCAGGAGAACGCAGCCCCAGGGTCCCTTGCGTGCTACTACGTGGACGGCTCCGGCTGCACCCGGTCCCCGATCCATGGGGCCGCTTGCTGGGCTGCTGCCGCCGGCCCGGCGCGCGGCGTCGGCGTGCGCAGAGCAGGGCCGGAGTCTAGCGCGCGGCAAGCATTTCCAGCAGCGTGCAGCGTTGCGCTGTGGCAAACCACATTTCACTACCAGCTCAATACGTACAAGAATACAGATCCCAGGCGGTAACGATCTGTCAATTTTCCACCAGTTTTAACAAAAACAAATCTTCATAATGTTTGTTTATGGGCTCTGCACCTAAACTAAAAGTGTTTGGTTCCACCTCCTAAAGTTTAGTTCCTATCATATCGGATGTTTGGCACTAATTTGCAGTATTAAACATAAACTATTTACAAAATTAATTGCATAGATTAAGACTAATTTGCGAAACGAATTTATTAAACCTAATTAGTTCATGATTTGATAATATGGTGCTACAGTACATGTGTTAATGATGAATTAATTAAGTTTAATAGATTGGTCGTAAATTATTCCCCATCTATATAATTAGTTTTATAATAGTTAGCTAATGTTTAGTCCTTCTAATTAGGACCTGAACGTCCAACCTGACACACTTGTCCAATAAAGCCAATAGATAGGGCCATACAGACGTGTAATAAAAGTGGCAGTAGTAGCAGAACGACGAGGCTTCCAAAAGAGATGAACACTGCACAGTAACAGCGCGCTGCAATAAAACGCTTTTATTCCATCATCACATTACATTTTTCAACGGCGACAAGTTCGGGTAACTGCCATCTCGTCCGCGTTTTGTCTGGCGTGTAACCAACGGATCACAAGTTCACACAGCACGCCGGCGGATCGCGACGACGCAGAAGCCAGCGCATCACCTGCCTGGCCGGTACGGTACCCATCGCTCGGCTCAGTCGATGAGGTCGGTGATGGCCGTGCAGACGACCGCGATCTTGGCGGACTCCTCGCCCCACCGCGCGACCTGCGGCGGCGGGCGCAGTGCGGCCCGCGCGAAGGCGTCGTCGCACCGGCGCGCCAGGGACGCAGCCTGCGCGGCCTTGCCCTTGCCCGCCGCGTAGTCGCGCCGGTTGATCGCGTCGTACGCCTCCGCGAACGCCGACTCCGCCGCGTCGTACAGCCTCTGGCACTGCTCCAGCGCCGCCCGCGCCTGGGCGTCGCCCGGCGGTTTGGTGGCCAGCAGGGTCTTGATGTCGTAGACGGCGTCCCCGGCGGTGGCGACGCCCACGTCGGCGGCCACCTTCGCCAGGCCCCAGGTGTCCGCGTCGGGGCTGTCGTGGTGGTGGCTCAGCCTCGGAACGCAGAAGCCGTAGTCCACGCGCTGGTCGCGGGCCGCCACCGCCGCGCACGTCGTCTCCGGGGTGGCGCCGACGCCGTCGACGCTCAGCGCGAGCGCCGCCGCCGCGACGAGGGCCGCGGCGGCCAGAGCGCGAGACGTGGAAGGCCTCATCGATCTGCTGCCTCTGGGCGCTAGAGCTTGGTGGTTGTGCTTTCTTGAGCTGAGTGCCGGGTGGCGTGGAGTGAGGAGTCTGCTCGTCTGGTCTGTTACGATTACGAGCTGGGGAGATCTCCAGTGGGCCCGTCCTGTTAGTTTGGGCCCACTAAACACACGGCGGCCGACGCTTATATCCGTGCCTCTGGCCCATCAAAATTTAGTTAGGCCAGAATTCTCTTTAAGGGCCGTTCGTTTCTTAGGGATTCATGACCTGGATTTATTCTGACCGAGATTGCTTTATTAATTTATATAGCATATTATCAAATGTAACAATTCCGGATGGATTTCACCCTAACCGAACGAGGCCTAGCAGACGGACGATCCAGCCCAGGTGCAGGGGCAGAACCCAAACCCCCTCGTGCAGTCGTTCCCCACTCCTCGCCATTCCGGCTGCCCGACGCTTCGAAGAGGCTGCTGCAGTCGAAGCGGAAGCACCGAAGCAATCGTCCAATCGTGCTCTAGCATCTGAATCCGATCCAGGCGAAGCGTCGCGAGTCCGGGTAAGTAGCTGCAACTAGGCTCCACGCATCTACATTTGCGTCCGAATCCTGCACTAGATTCATGCCCGCACCATCTTGATCCGAACGCGGTGCAAGGTGCGCGTTTTCGTTTTCCTTTCCTTTTTTGAGTTTCCCCGCGAGAATCGGCGGTGTTTGTGTGGGCTGTTCCATTTCCATGGTAACCTACCTTTAGTTTTGCTGTCTGTGTTAGATCCTAGATAGAACCCTAATTTCTAGTTGTGCGATTTAAACTTTTGGCGGAACCCTAGTTAGATTGCTGCCCCTGAGGTTTCATACTCTGTATTTGACTTCTAGTTAACCATCACTTGACCTTGTCCACTGATTTGTTTGCAGGTTCAAGTTTTACATAATCACTTGGTGACCATAAACAAGGTATATGTTTCTCACCTTGAGGTCCTGTTGTGTCATCTATATGTTGTACTATCTGTGCCTGTGCTAGATGCCTACCTGCTTCTTTGAGATGCGACTGCTGTTAGCATATTCTGCTAGGCTGTGAAATTTGTAATGTTAGGTTGATGTATTACCTTTAGTGTCCGGTAGATTGGCAATATTTGCTGTTTTGCACACTGCTAGTGCTGTGCCGGTGCCCTTTAATAAGTTGGTTTCCATACATAATCTGAAATCTGATATTTTGTTGTAACTTGTACTAGTGTTTGTTTAAGACATTATATGAAACTGTGCAATGAAATTGTGTGATACTTTATGCATTGTTTGGAGTTGTCAGTTGTCACATTGCTTTTCTTGGCTTTCCTAAGAGGAGAGCTAACTCAAACGTGGTTTTTGGTTGAAATCCTGAGATGCAGTTGACTTGAACATGTGCTTTGTAACTTCTGTTGTTTAGTAGCTGCAGCCTGCAATTGCAGTAATGAATGCTTTGATGCAACCTGCTTCAGAGCTATCTTGGCGATAGTAAATCATCTATGCTTAGCTGTCAGAATGGTGTACTCAGTACTAGCAAATGTGGGAAACTGGGAATCATGGTACTATCTTGTATTTGGAATGGCACACATTTCACATCAGAATTCAATATTTATTCTCTTACCTCACTACAGACCTGTCTGTTACTCTTTGGCAATGAATTGGTAGATTTTTGTTTCATGAAACTAGTGTTTGGAAAACTGAAACACGATTGATTCCAGTTTACAAGCTGGCCTATCCAGACACACAACAGAAGTTAAACCTTAGTACTATACTAAATGCAGTAAACCAATATTCCTTTGCCCTTTATTTTACTATGCAAACTAGTGCTGGGAACAGGGCCATAGGTGTGTTTGTGAACAAATCAGGATGATCCTTTCCATCCATCCAGGATATTGAACAATTAATATTCAAAATTATTCTCAACACTAGGGAAACTTAGTTCCATGATTGTGGTTAAAGCTAATGTGTACTGGTTTAGCAATACCGACACGGATTTTTTATTTTTTGTTTCGATTGGAAGCAGTGCTGTAAGAGTTGTGAGAAAGCATGTTCCAGTAAACAATATATATATGCAAGCTTGGGTCAGCTCATGATCAACTTGAATTTAATTGATTATAACTGCTTTATTTATTTTTTGCTTGCTGTTTTACTTTGGAGCTTATTTGTGCTATCTGATTGTGATTTCTTAGAATGACTAGTTTTACTGATTGCATTGGTACTAGTGAGAGGGTTAAGTAGGCACTATTCATTAGCATTAACTCACCTATGAATCATTTAAACCCATAAAATTACTACAAGGAATACACTGTGAAGTTTAATCAACTTATTAGTGTTGGTTTTGCAATAGAATTAGGTGACATTCAATGAGTTAAGTTTTGTTATGTACCTTGGATGGTTATTCAGTTATACTCTTGTCAGCTTGAGTAGTTATCGTGAATTTAGCAATACTACTATCTTACTTTCTTTCATTGCATTATTTTGAATTGCTGAGTAGAGTTCTCAAGGAATATTTTTGCTGTTATAGATGTCATTGCATATTGGGCGGCTTTCCCAAGATGTGCGGCAAAGTTATCTTGAACATCTGTTCCAGAGGTTTGGTCGTTGCACTGTGAACCTGAAAGATGGATATGGGTTTGCTGTGTATGATTCTGATGATGATGCAACTAGAGCCATGAGGGCCCTGCATGGGAAATATGTTTGTGGGGAGTGCATTACTGTTAATTGGTCAAAGCAGCAGCCCAGATTTTCTCAGGGTTTCAGGAGAAGTTCAAGATTTGTTGAATTGTCTCGCGGAAGAAACTTCAGAGATGCTAGGGACAATGTTAGGTTCAGGGATCCTCTAGCTCGGAATAATCAACCAGCAAATCATGATCAGAGTCATAATTCTGATGCTGGGCTAGAAAAGGAATCTGGTAAATTTGCTGAGGTTGTCAATGATGCTGGAGAAAACATTGGCGATGATCCAGGGGAGGTGAAGAGGGATGAAGGTGGTACAAATGATGAAGGTCCAGGGGAGGTGAAGACTGACGAAGGTGGTACAGCTGATGCAAATATAATTGAGCATGATAGATGGGCTGGGAAAGGTACCCCTGGTGGAGACGGCGATGATTTTGACCGCTATGAGCCTTATCATGGATATGAAAGGCAAGAAGAAACAGAAAATGTGATTAAAGCAAGTTCTTATGATTCTCGTGAACACAAACTTTCTTCAGAGAAGTGGAAAGAGCACTCTGACAAGCATGTTGACATAAGCCATGATAAATCAAGATCTCCTCCAACCTGTTACAGTTGTGGTGTTGCTGGCCATATTGCACGTAATTGCCCTCATGGAATAGATGATAACTTCATACCAAGGAGAGATGGATTGAACTTTAGGGAAAAATGGCAGCTGAGGCAGAGAAGATTTGGGTCGCCCTCGAGGAGGCGACCAGCTCGGAGGCGACCAGAATTTCATATTCATCCATTGGACCAAACAAATCATAGAGTTCAAGATGGTAGGAAGCCATTTGCTGAGAGGAATATGCGAATGCATTGGCCGAGAGACAGCAGGAGACATGCCCACTACAGTGAAAACATGCCGCAAACAAACAAGGAAGGACGCAAGAGAAGCAGATCTGAAAGGTCTCGGGGGTCATCGCCCTCTTCAGAACCTTCAAGGCGCTCTAACCATGCTAATGTTAAGAGATCTCATTCCAACAGGACTTCCTCAGATTCAAGATCTAAATCCCCCCGATCCCGGCCTCGATTTAAAGCACATTCTCCAACTTATTCTGCACATTCTAGTTCAAAATCATCTCAACCAACTCAGCATGAAGGATCAAGATCAAATATCAACCATCCTGTTCCATTTTCAGTATCTGCTTCACCACAGCACAAGTCATCTCCTGATGTAGAGAACAAAAATCTAGTTGGTCTGATGAATTCTCAATTGGAGGACAATTTGGAGTTCAGGACAAGATCTGAAGTAAAAAATCTGGATGAGAACAATCAAGAAGGGAATGGTTCAGTTTTGAACAGCAAGGTCCTGAATGGGGAAATGCTTGTTCGTAACAAGAATGCTAATGTTACTGGTTACACAGGGTCTGACTTCGGTAAGAACTTGGTTGATGATAATGCTGCCAATAGAGTGCAAAGCCAGAATGCTAACTTTGAAGACTCTTTGTCAGTGAAATCAAAGCAGGACGTTCTGGCCAAAAATGGGAGGAACAAGTCTTTGAAGCTAACAACTAATGAAGTGATCTCAGCTCTGAAGCACTATGGGATTGAGGCACAAGAGGGAGATTCATCAGATCAATCTGTGGAGAAGTACTTTGGTGCTGCACGCCTGTGGCCTTGGGAAATCATTTACTATCGCAGGCGTAAGAAAGGTCCGATATCTACTGAGAATTATGCTAAGCGACTTGAGCAGAACAAAGAATTTGGTATTGTGGATCAGTATGTCAGAAGCAGCAGTGGTTGGTGGGAGTGTCATTAAAGGAAGTCTAGTTGCTTCCGAGGCTTTACATGAATAGCCATTTGCATCCTGAGAGAGTGAGAGTCCATTTTGAGGATAACAAGGTTTGTGTGCTCCTGTTAGTGTTAGGTTTCATTTCTGTTTGCGTTAGGGCATCTTTGGATGTGATTAGGCCAAATGTCTTCAGATTGGAAGGGAAAATGAACAAATTTTCCCTGCCAACCTGGGTGAGCTGAGTGTAAAACCTACCTATCCAAACAAACAACATTTTATTTTCATTACCAGTATTAGTGTTATATGAACCACAAGTAATAGGTGTTGTCAACTTTAGTAGAGCCCTTAACACAAGAACCACAAGTAACACAAGAACCTTGGGTGTTTCCATTGCTGCTATGATTCGGATAGGTAAAGGTATATGCCTAAAGGCTTCATGTTGGAAAATGGCAATACACTGTGTTTCTATCAGTGTTTTATGATCTTGTCACATGTAGATGTTGGTACCATTTGTCCATCTCATGTGTCTTTTGAGTTGCAATGTTTGAAGGTTCAATCCCAGTAGGTCTATTGGTGGTCAACAAGCTCAAGGATGTTTTGCGATTTTATAAGAGTGGGACCCGCATCATGTTTAGCAAATCCACGATAAAGTTGAAAGTTGTTGCTTCATCAAGGTCTCGATATGCGAGGATAAAGGATATTAGTCCACCAGAAGTAATATCTGTAAGCAGCTACCTTCATGTATGACATTAGCACATGCAGCGTATTCATATTTGTCAAGAGCACATTGATGAGAGTATGGCACTTTTGAGTCCCTTCTGCTTCAGTGGCTTCTCTACTTCTGATTGTTACCTGGTGTTGAGTTAGCATGAAAATGGCACTGTTGTGGGTGGAGAATTATCAATTATCGTTGTTTGGGTGCATCTGCACTGCACTGGTATGGAACCATCCTGTGGAATTCTCTGTATGATCAGCAGGTCGTGATATAGCTTCTTGTTGCTGGATTACTACAGTGGGTGCTCCCCCAGGGATGGTTTCTTCCTTCAGTTACTAACATTTGGATGGAAGTGAACTTAATATTGTGCATCCGCTTTCAATCTTGATCCTTGAGTTGTCATTATCTTGTTCCTTTCCTGTGTTGAGAAGCTCAATGAAACAACCAGTTACAAGGTATGCAAAGAAGTTTGCATCTTCTTTTTGGTTAAAGAAAAGTTCATTTTTGTTTACCCCATCACTTCAAAACTTTTGACCCTTTACGGTTTCCGTTTTCAGCCACATACTCAGAATCCTTCTGAGCCTTTTGTTCTTCTGCTGCTCAGGCAAGTAGTCATAATTATATTTAACTTTGTGTAAATCTGAGGCTTTTGCAAAAGTGGCCCGATCCTGCATTAGTTTGCCTCAAGTGTTGGTGAACTCAGCTATGCTATCTTTATGTTGCGCCGTGCCAAGCGTGACGCTGCAGTTTGGTCGATTGTGACTGATGACGGGTAACAGCTCGTTGCGACTCTGGCTGTATCTGTCTGTGTAAACGGTGTGCCTGCCATATATGCTCATGGCAGAGCAGGCGAAAGCACATGTTTTCATTTTATTTTATATATCACAGTGTTTGCTTGATGGTTTGCTTATCATACGACAGACCAGCACTATACAGTGTACATACATTCGAGAGGAGAGACTGCCTCTTACGGACGCATCATAGATGGCAGGTGACATCAGGTTTGGTAGATGTTGCATCCATTTCTTGCTTCAGATTGACAGCTTGGCCTGTCTGGCTGTGGAAGATTTCGATTTCTCTTGCCGGCTTTCGCCCCCTCCCCATTCATGCCGACGCCGATGCCGGAAAGCCGATTCTCTCTTTTGCCCAGCTGCGTTGCGTAGCATCACTTCTGTCTGGTGCTTTACAAGTGCAACCACCACAGATTACGGTCAGAAACCAGCACCCCAATCAATGTCCGGCACTTGAGCAGAGAGTGAAGCTGCCTGCTAAATGTAGAAATGTGTTCGGCACATGGTTTCTTCAAGTGCAGTTATTGCCTGGCGATGATTATTATTACTCCGGTTTTGAATCTTTTCAGTTCTGAAAAAAAAGAAACAGGACTGACGTCAAGAGCTGTGGCAGCCTGTTTCTATAGCTATGTTAAGCGCGTGTTCAGTTGAGGGAAGTTTAGAATTTGGGCTACTGTAGCACTTTGTTTTTATTTGACAATTAGTATTTAGGCTCAAAACGTTCGTCTCGTAATTTTTAACTAAACTGTGTAATTAGTTTTTTTTTATCTACATTTAATGTTTTATGCATGTATCGTAAGATTCGATGTGATGGATATTGTAGTATTTTTTGGGAAAAAAATTTGGAACTGAACACGGCGTAAAGATGGGTGACGCGATTAGTCGTGGAGAGGAGAGGACGGTTGGACAATGGACGATGGAGGCGTGATGCTCATCGCATAGTATAATTGCTTTGCGAATTGGCCATGAATGAATGAATGAATGTATCGTCCGGGGGTGGTGGCAAAGTTGACCAAGGGTGCAGCGGCAATTAAGGTCGTTCCGCGTCGCGATGCTCGGCTGCTCGCAATATTCAGACGGAAGGAAGCGTGTGTGCTGGTTCATGGAGGGTGGCGTCAGGAATTAATTGGCCTATATTCATTGCGTCGCGTCATGCAATGCCATTACTACTACTTCCTTCCTTGGTACTGTAGCAGCAGCAGTGAGTAGCTTCTCCGCTCCTCTCACGTCTCACCTGCTCCGCTACTGATCGCTTATTTATTATTTTATATCTAATTAATTCAGTAATCTGACGTTAAACCTCGTTACAATTGCAGGCCCTGAGGAACGCTAACAGCACCGCTACTGTACTGTTCGTCGCTTTTTCTACTTCTCGACAAGGATACGCCACCATCTCGAAGAAAAGTCGGAGCTTCAGCCTGATCGTTGGTTGGATAAGTCCTGGTGCTGATTTGTTGTGAGATGAAAACACTATATGATAAACCTTGGCTGAAATCAACAAACGAACAGGACCAATTGGAAAATTAAAACCCCAACGTGAACATTGAAAAACCAAACGTTCTTTTTTTTTTTTCCCTTTCATTCCTTTTGGGATTTGACTACTGCAGAGCAAAACCGAGAGGTCTCCAGTGTATCCGTGATCTATACCACAGTTACCACCTCACCGTCGCAGTCTCGGCAGACGGGATGAAATATCACGGTTACACTGGAGCAGTTCTTTTAATTTAACGACGAAATTAAAGCTACTGGTAGTACTATAATAATAGTACTAATGGTAATAATGGAGAAGAACTTGTGGGTTCTCGATGCTGCCGTGTGGTGGTGCTGTGGAACTGTGGTCTGTGGATGATCATATCACGCCCTCCTGTTCCTCCCGCCACCGCCACCGCCGCGGGTGCTGTTGCGGCTGTGATCGTCGTCCTCCCGGCTGCTGCTGCTGTTGCGGGCGGCGTGGTGCAGGAAGTCGAGGAGGACGGGGCTGCGGCACCGGGGGCAGCGCAGGTCGGCCTCGGAGAGCATCACGTACATGAGGCAGCGCGGGCAGGCCGCCAGCACCATGGACGTCGCCTCCGGGCTGTCCGACCACTGCAGCCCGTGGCTCTGCGGCCTCTGCTGCGGCTCCCCCCGCTCGCCCTCCGACGATAGGCACGAGCTCGGCGACGACGACGACCACTCCTCGTCGGAGGACAACGACGCTGACGCCCCCTCTGTGCCACGCGCCGGCGGCGCCGGCGGAGACAGGTGCAGCTTCAGGTCCAGGCCCCCCGCGCCCCTTCCTCCTTTGCTGCCCCGGCTCATCACGTAATACGCGCTGACGCTGCCTGACTGCTATCCATGAAGCTTGTCAGCAAGGTTAATCACTGATGATCCATCATACTGCTGCTAGTAATGATAGTATTAATTCCACAAAGAGAGCGCTTACTGTCTCGTCTCGTGATGGTCAGCAGCTGCAGCTGCTGCAGGAGTGCTCTGCTCTGAGCCTCTGACTATGAGGATGCTTCCTTCCCTTGCCTTCCTCGGAGGCAGAGGAGTGGTGGTGCCTGTGGACTGTAGCGTGGGAGAAGAGATGGCATGGCAGCAAGTATTTATAGGGGAAAATGGACAGTGGGAGGGAGGGAGCTATGGAGGTCAATTGTTTTCTTAAATGCAGCACTGTGGAGGAGTACTTGCATCCTTTAATTGACCATATTATACTCCACCCTAAACACACTCACTTCATTGCTCATATTCATGTTTCTGTTTTATGGAATGGAGAGGTGGTGGCGGCGGGCAGCCTGGCACTGGCAACTGGCACTGGCAGGGCCGCCGCAGAGGCGAGTTGAAGTGATCGGAGAAGCAACAGTCGTCGATCTCGAGCTCGGTGGCAGATGAGAAGCAGGGTTCGGTTCGGTTCATGGTGGTGGAAAACGACCTGAAGAAGGGGACGGCCACGGCGCGTCTTGAGAGAGACACAGGTAGGTTGGTCGCCACCTGGGATGGGTTGCTGTTGCAGTCGTGACCAAGAACGAAGATCTCTCAGGTCAGTCAGTCAGGTGCCTCAAATGGAGCGATGGGCAAGTCTTTCACCGGGAGATGATTAGGACACCGTTATACTGCTAGTCAGGCGTGTTAGTTTAGTCATAGCCTATCCAAACGGGTAGATGGTAGACTAATTTTTAGTTCAGTCATCTAACCTCTCAGCAGTTTCTATATCTGAGTGACCGATGCCCGAATGTTCGAGCGACCTAGCGCCCGAATGTCCAGATGCGGCGTCCGTCCGGACGCTGCACCCGCGCCCACGGCCGACGCACACCCCGCGCCAACGCATGTCCAAACCCATGCCAATCCCGCGCCGGAGGCAGCGTCCGTCCGGACGGAGCTTCCCGCGACTACGCCGGACACATGCAGCATAGAGGCCCACGTCCCATCCCGCGCGATGCGCCGCGCCCGCATCCATCCCGCTCCACATCCAGGCCAATCCTCCGCGACATCCCGTCCCTGCCGCTCTCGTGTGATCGGCCTCCATCTTCGCCACACCAGGGAGCGGACCACCGAGGGATTAGGCTTCCTCCACACCTACATCCACGATATGCTTTTCCAACATTCAGATCAAACAAATGCAACAAACGCCTGAAACAGATGAAAACATTCGGAACATACAGTTGCAACTTGCAACATATGCAACATCCAGATAAAATACTTGTAACATACGTCTAAAAACAGGTGAAACACTTGAAACATGCTCTTAAAACATGCGTGTATAGCCATAGCATGCAACAAACATATCTACTTTTGCAACATCTATATAAAACACTTACAATATAAGTCTGAAAACATCTAAAACATTTGAAACATATGCTTAAAACATGCGTGTATAGCCATAGCAGCAAAGGCAACATCCAAATGAAATATTTGAAACATACGTCTGAAACTGAAACACTTGAAATATAGGCTTACAACATTTCTGAAAACGCTCTGAAACACTTGAAGCATAGCGTCCCGATGATCATGGCCTACCTGTTAGGGAACTAAGGTGGCGCAGGCCTCCCCTTCCTGCTGACGGCGTGAGGAGGATGGGGGCACAGGCATAGGCCTCCCCTGCCTCAGCGCAGGCGGGAGCGAGCAATGGCACGCGGGCAGGCGAGGCGCGGGGCGCATAGACCCAGCGCTGCGGGTGACGCGTGTGGGGCATGTGGAGCAGTCTGTCCAGACAAGACGGACGCCCGTGGCGTATCATTATTTTTGCAACATACCGTCTCAAAATAGATGAAACACTTGAAACATGCTCTTGAAACATGCGTGTATAGCCATAGCAACATATGCAACATTCAGATCTACTTTTGCAATATCTAGATGAAACACTTACAATATAAGTCTGAAGACATATGAACATTTGAAAACATACGCTTGAAACATGCGTGTATAGCCATAGTAACATATGCAACATACAGATACAACATTTGAAACATACGTCTAAAACAACTTAAACACTTAAAACATAGGCTTGCAACATTTCTGAAAACGCCTAAAACACTTGAAGCACAGTGTCGGTGGTGGTCACGACCTACATGTTGGATAACTACGATGGCGCAGGCCTCCCCTTCCTGTCGACGGCGCAAGGTGGATGGGGGCGCAGGCGTAGACCTCCCCTGCCTCCCCTTCCGTTGGGGGGGGGGGTGGAGGTGGGGGCCAGGTGGATGAGGGCTCGGTGAAAGGTCCTAATGGCTAGAGGGGGGTGAATAGCCTAGAAAAATTTATACAACAACACTAAACAAAATGGTTAGATAATTATGAGGCGAAGCAAATATTACGCCGGCCTACTAAAATGCAAGCCACCTACCACAATTCTAGTCTCTATGATCTTTAGGCACACAAAGGCTATGTCACTACACTAAGTTAGTGAGCTCTCAATGACTAACTAAAGAGACTCACTAACCACTAGATACGACACAAACTAGCTCTCAAAACTAATTACACTAAAGAGCTTAGCTACACTATAAATGTAAAAACACAAGTGGTTGAGATGTTTATACCGCCGTGTAGAGAGGTGTGCCAATCACAAGATGAAGCCAATCAATTACAATAGAGTCCCGGTGACAAGAGGTGACACAATGAATTTTCATCGAGGTTCACTTGCTTGCCGGCAAGCTACTCCTCGTTGTGGTGATACACTCACTTGGAGGTTCACGCTAATTGGCATCACACGCCAAACCCTCAATAGGGTGCCACACAACCAACATAAGATGAGGATCACACAAGCCATGAACAATCCATTAGAGTACATTTTGGCTCTCGGCCAGGAAAAGGTCAAGAACCCCTCACAATCACCACGATTGGAGCCAGAGATAAGCACCTTCCTCCGCTCGACAATTCTCGCTGCACCAAGCCGTCTAGGTGGCGACAACAACCAAGAGTAACAAGCAAAATCCACAGCGAAACATGAATACCAAGTGCCTCTATATGCAATCACTCAAGCAATGCACTAGGATTCACTCCCAATCTCACAAAGATGATCAATCTATGATGGTGATGAGTGGGAGGGCTTTGTCTAAGCTCACAAGGTTGCTATGATAATGTAAATGGCCAAGAGAGTGAGTTTGAGCCGGCCATTGGGCTTTAGTAGAAGCCCCCACGAAATAGAGCCGCTTGGCTCTCACTGCAGCCCAACTCAGGGCAACCGAACACGCCAGTCAAACTGACCGGACGCACCACTTTCAGCGTCCGGTCGTAGATCCGCTGCCACGTGTTCTTGCCTTTGAAAGATGACCGCCCGATCCCATCTGTCACAAATTCCCGCGTGGTTGAGTTAGTGACGACCGGACTCACCAGCGAATGACCTGACTCGCCCATGCTGCGTTAGATCAGTTCAACACCACGTGCTTCCAACTTATGACCGGACACACCGGTGCTCACGACTACACGGCGTCAGGTCATTTACAAAGAGGTCCCAGAGCGCCCAAACAGTGATCGGACGCGTCCGATGCACCTTGATCGGACGCAGGTCAGCGTCCGATGCAACACCCTAAGCCGCGCTGCCATGGTTTCTACTGACCGGACTCACCAGGCCCGCGTCCGGTCACTGTAAAACAGTGAAAACCAACACCTCCACTTCACCTACTTCTCCACCCTTGCTCAAATGTGCCAACCACCAAGTGTATCACCTTATGCAAGCGTGTTAGCATATTTTCACAAGCATTTTCAAGGGTGTTAGCACTCCACTAGGTAAAAATGCATATGCAATGAGTTAGAACATCTAGTGGCACTTTGATAGCCGCATTTCGATACGAGTTTCACCCCCTCTTAATAGTACGGCTATCGATTCTAAATGTGATCACACTCACTAAGCATCTTGATCACCAAACCAAAAAGCTCCTATCAAATTTCACTTTTGTCTTGAGCCTTTTGTTTTTCTCTTTCTTCTTCTCCAAGTTCAAGCACTTGATCATCACCATGGTCACACCATCATCATGATCTTCATCATTGCTCCGCCACTTGGAATAGTGCTACATATCTCATGATTACTTAGATAAATGAGGTTAGCACTTAGGGTTTCATCAATTCACCAAAACCAAACTAGAGCTTTTAATCTTCCCCTTTTTGATAATTGATGACAACCCTTTCACAAAGATATGAATTGAATTTTTATTGAATCCATGTTGTTTGCTCAAGCATATTTACCATGTGTAAAAGAATATGGACAAGTTTCATGAACCCTAATTGGTAGCGATTGCTCCCCTATATATGTGCTAAGAGTTTGGATTGAAGCTTGCACATATGCTTAGATAGGAAATGTATGAGTCAATTTCTACCAAATGATGCTAAGGTATAAGAGATGTACCTTTGAAGCGTGACACCAATCGGAGTGCACTAATATACCATCCTTAACACCATTAGTAATGAAAGGATCAAGATGCCCAAGAGGGGGGGGGTGAATTGGGCTAATTCTAAATTTCTTTGCAATAATAAAATCCTACGGTTAGCCTAATTAACCCCTTGTTCCTAGAAAATGTTTCTAATTATTCTACCGCACAAAAGACTTGCAACCTATGTTCCAATCTTACTCTAGCATGGCAATTCTAAGAATGTAAATGACAAGAATTGAATTGCTCAAAGTAAATGCTCAAAGTAAAGAGAGGAGGAGGAACGCGGTGATGTTTTGCCGAGGTATCGGAGAGTCACCACTCCCCACTAGTCCTCGTTGGAGCACCCGCGCAACGGTGTAGCTCCCCCTTGATCCGTGCAAGGATCAAGTGCTCTCTATGGGTTGATTCTTCGACACTCCATCACGGTGAATCACCCACAACCGCTCACAACTTGAG